GGAATGCGCTATGGCGCTTTTTATTCATTTTTAATCGATAATTTAATTTTTAAAGAATCACCCCTCTTTAAAATAATCACATTTTGTTGCTTTGCAGCCTGAAATGAAGACGGACACCGTTTTTGTTTTATCCAGCTGTATTTACTTGGTGCAACTTATAACATCCAAGTGAAAGTTATAACACATGTCAGAAAAAAAAATATACAATCTGAGTTGGAAAAAGGATCACCCCCTCCTAAAAGTGACTCAATCAGGTGTAGCTAATCACCTTCTCAATGGCACATAAAGCCATTTGACTTTCAACTGTGATCAGCTGCGGTCATTTATTAGCTCAGTATATGAAAAGAGCTTTCCTGGAGCATTTCAGTCCTTGGTAGTGCAACTGAAGCAAATAATCAACTATAGGTGATAAGGCACTGTCAAAAGATCTCCGGGATAAAGTTGTGGACAGGCACAAGTCAACAGATGGATACCAAAATTTTTTTAAAGGCTTTATCAATGCCTGGAAGCACAGTGAAGTCTATTATTAAGAAGTGGAAGGTATTTGGTACCACACAGACCCTTCCTGGATCAGGACGTCGCTCCAAAGTGGATAAAAGAACCAGGAGGAGACTGGTCAGAAAAGCTACCAAGAGGCCTACAGCAACTCTGAAGCAGTTGCAGGAATTTATGACAAAGAGTGGTCATTGTGTGCATGTGACAACAATATCACAAATTCTCCACAAATATGGCTTGTACGGGAGGGTTGCAAGAAAAAAAGCCAGTCCTCAAGAAAGGCCACATGTCTATGTGCAAAGTTAGTAGAGACAGAGACATATCCCAACAGACTAAAGGCTGTATTTAAAGCAAAAGGTGGTTCAACAAAATACTGACACGAGGGGGTGATCCTTTTTCCAACTCAGTGATTCTGTTTTTTTTTTTTCTGACATGTTGGTGTAATATCTTTCACTTGGATGGAGTAAATACAGCTGGATAAAATAATGGAGGGAGGGAGGTGATACTTTTCTATACCCACTATATATATATACAAAGTCACTATGTGTACATGAAGGATGGGAAAACAAGTAGAATCATCACTAGGATTGTGCATAGATTTATTACCAAGAAGTACAAATCAATATAGTAATGCCAAAACTTTCTACTTAATACAAATGCGAGAGCTCTCATTGTGGTTACAGTAAAAGTAAAACCATTACGTTTCCATCAAGTTTCAAGACAACTTTAAAGTGTCCTTAGATAATGGATGTTAAGGTAAATGTACAAAAGCTAATGATACAAAGCTAAGCTATGAAACTTTGTTAAATGTAATTTGATTTGCCAAAAGCAAACACAATGCAAGGCAAACTACAGAAAATGCATTTGTTTAATATTACAAACCACATGCATGAACCAAATGCAAAGTACATAATTTATACTTTTGTCTATACACTTAAAATATGATAATGTATTTGTTAAGGTTTGCTAACTACAATTGATAATTACAGGTTCCTTAATTTTCTTTTGCATATTGTCCAGCTCTTCCAGAGATAAAGGCCATTATAACAGGCAGTAAAGCAGAGTAAAAACGCAGTGCAGCTATTACCATTTTTGGTCAGAATTTGGTCAGAACTGTAAAGTGGGCAAAGAGATAATCAAGAGTGAGATTAAACTTTTTTCCTGGCAGAGAAAAGTTGTGATTTTCCAGAATTCAGGATTGTCTTGATAGGTGGCACAATTGTTGGGAAGACCTCAGTGGTGAACACCATCCTGAAAATCAAGCGAGGCCAGCAAAACTAAAAAGTGTGTGAAGAGAGAGGGAGAGGTTGACAAGAGAAAAGTCATTTTAATTGAAACACCTGGATGGTGGCCTTACATGTCTGTAAAAGACAAGGAGTCAATCAAGCAGGAGATCATGTCAAGTGTTACTATGTGTCCACCAGGACCTCATGCAGTTTTGCTAGTTCTGCAGTCTGGTGTCGCCTTCACTGAAGCACAAAGGAGGCCTGTCAAGGAGCACATGGAGTTCTTGGGTCGAAATGTCTGGAAGTACTGTATAGTGGTGTTCAGCAGGGGCCACTGGATGGGGACCCCCACTATTGAAGAGCACATTGAGAGTGAAGGAGAGGCTCTGCAGTGGCTGATCAATACACGTGGAAACAGATATCATATTCTTAACAACATGCAGCAGGATGATGGGAAACAGGTCAGAGAGTTGATGGAGAAGGTGGAGATGATGGCCAAATTAAACACAGTGCTCCCAGTAGCTGTGGGTGAAGCACTGGAGGAGATGGATGACAAGGATGAGGAGGGAGCAAATATGAGGGAGAAAGAACAAGCTGAGTGTAGAAGCTTCTTGGAGGATCGTCCTTACTGTAAGTAGTATAACATGCTCTTTGCAGACTCCATTAAGCCAGATTGTTATTTTTACCATCTTATCACTGATTTGACCATTACATGTTGTAATATTGTACAATTCTTAAATAATTAGCAAAATATCCATACCAGCTGAAAAAAAGTATTTTTTAGCTAAACATATTTCTACAAAACAACATAATCTAACTGTATAAATTCTCTTTATAGTGGATGAAGCTTACATTGACAAGTGGATGGATGATTTTGAGTTGTCAGAGATCGAGCAAATTGGAGTGGAACAAAGGCAAGAGTCAAAGACACTAATGGCCAGCACCAGACCTATGGAAAAACAAAGTAAACAGTAACAGTGCAGCACATTAACCCAAAAGAGTTAAAGTAGCTGACATTTTCCATTCAAACGCATTAACGTGCATGGACATTGGACTTGGATTATTTCCACCCAGTCATCTATAGGCTTTGACAGAGAAAAGGGGTATTTTTTTTAAACATTGCAAAATATTATTCATATAATATATGGTTTTGTTAGTTACACACATTTTTCATACACACATAGGCCATAAAACTAGGAAATTAAATTAAATTGTGTATTTGGATTTCAATTTAATTACATTTAAAATAAATTTACAGAATGTTTATACCACCAGTCCAATTGCACAACAAATATACCTATGCTATCTTAAATGAAAATATAATACATTGTATTAAAGATATGTCTTTATTTCCTATGTCATGCCACAGACTTATGGATTGGTTGGACTCTAAATTGGTTGAAACATCCATTACATACAGTTTATCTTGTGACAAAATACCTTGTGTTTCATATGTACTAGGGACAATATTGTAGCTCAATAAAAACTTCTCAACAAGTAGAGCAGAATTTTTTTATGTGATGGAGGAAGAAGAACCATAATTAAGCAAGTTATTGCAAGAAAGGTTGGCAAAAGCGATATATTTATTTAACATAATTTTTGTATGATTTTGTTTTACAATTCAATAGCCTACAAAACAAAATCATATAGCCTACTCGTACAGTAACTCTATAGCAATTAAAAAGTCCAATAATTTAGCCAACATGTGAATTGCAAATAGCCTACAACAGAACGGGTACATATTTACAACATTCTCAAAGAAATAGCATTTTTCTAGTGATTTTCCCCCAAAAAATAAAAAAGGTCTAATTAGGCTACGTCATCTAAAAAGAAAGCGAACCTTATGTCACAAACCGAAAGCAAACGTAAAAGCCACTCTCTATTTATTGTGTTAAAACAAACGTGACTCGTAATGGCTCGTTAACTACTCTGCAGAGACAGTGTCCGGATTGGACCGACAGACTCACAGACAGACGTCCGTCGATGCCGCAGCGCTAGTGTGCTCAACAAAGGCTCAGGCCGGGGAGAGGGCCATTTTTACCAAATACAAAGGAAGCAGAGCAGCGAGGGAGGGGAGGACTATGGGAATGACAGGAATAGCGAAATATCACTTTACGAAATCGCAATGTGCCGTCAAACCAAACACTGAACAATGGGTGAGAAGTGACCAGTCATGACTACAACAGAATATAGTGTGTACTAACGACAGAACAGCAAATAAATAATTTAGATGTCGAACTGCCTGCTCTCAGAGCCGACTGCGCATCACGGTGGCAAAATGCCGGAACAGCAATGATGATATTAGACACTGACAGACACTGTACGACGTAATCTATCCTAATTTTGAAAACAGCCGTGAAAGATTATCGTCTGCTGGTAAGTGTTTATATCATTTACAATCCGTACACTCAAAATGTCAGTTACGTCTAAGTATTTCAGATAGCCATAAAAAATATGAATCATAACTGGTTATGATCATAGAGCGCGCGCCGGAGGACGCAACAGGTCGCGCGTACAGTAGAGCTGTAGTTCCCGCGTGCATTTGGCTGACGTAATTATGACATTTGTACAAGAATTTCACGAGGTGTATTATTGCGTATATTGAAATGCTAGCTAAACACTTTGTGTTTTGGCATGAATATCACTTTAATAAAAATGTCTCGTTCCCTGTTCATCTGACGTTTTGATACAAATGGTATAATGATGCGTCATATCTAAATATTGTGTGCATAACCAAATGATGTGAAAGCCAAATGAATACAAAAAAATTAATAAAGAAAAAAGAAAAGAAAAACATGTACATGAAATATAGGCTATAGTTCTGTTAAGGACAAGGATGTATTATGGTTTGTTAAAATAAATACCATTATTTTTCGGATTAAGCTACTGAAATCTCCCCTGAAAACAGGACACATCTGTATTACAGACAGTCAAAATGTAGATTGTTTCAAATTCTATTATCAGGCCTAAATTTGATTAATGTAGTGATGCCACTGACATGAGATAATCTCAGGCCTTTTTTAAGTTCTAATGAAGTTAATGCAGGCCTGTTGAATGCATGACTTCAAAGAGCTTAAGTTTAAAGTCAGATTTAAGAGAATATGCCATTATTAAACAAATATAATACAATATAACTTTGAATACATGTGGTCACCTGACAGATTCTTTGGAATAAGCTATAAGAAATATATTAAAAATATATGAAATAATAATAAAAAATGTCTATCAGTGTTTTCCAAATTGCACTTTATAATTTATCTCAGCCCTTCATGCTCTTACCTGGTTTCCAGTTATTAAAAACTTAGTACTGAGACTTAAAAAAGGGGAACGCCTCAAAACTTGGGGGTGTAAGGGAAAGGAGGGGTATATGCATGAGTAGGTGGTGTTGTGCGTTATTTGAATGCAAATGCAGAGAGAACAAGCCGAGACTGTGTTTGAGAGAGAAACTGGGAAAAGGAGGTGGAGAGTTGTCTTTGGATTTTAGTTAGACACTGAATAGACACTTTTGAGACATTGCTTGCTCATGTATGCCCTTAGCATTTGGCCTTGTAGCTCTCTATATAAATGAAACATGGACTTTTATTTGTTTCTCAGAACTGATGCAGTGAGATTTACTGTAATTTAGCTCTAAGAGAAAGATTTTCAATCTGTTTCAACCCATGGGCCAATTAGCCATTGACTTTCCCCTGCATCATGTCACGCCGGAAACAGAAAAGACCTCAACACTTTTTCAGCCCCATCCTCAACACTTCGTGGCTACTTCAACATGGTGAGAAATGTTTTACTGTTTAGTAAGAGAGCTCCATTGTTTCTGTCAGTGAGCCATGTCATTTGAGATCATTTGTTGTGACATTAACAGATTCAGATGTTTAAAATATCTGATCTCATTTTAAGAAAAGGAAAATGAAACCAGGTAAAAATAAAAGGAATTTCTGTAATATTTGGACATAGTTACATCCCAACAGCTTCCGTCGAAATTAGTACTTTTCATCTTCAGACCCAAGCTTGGAATTTAGACCGCCCACGATATTAAATGTATGGCTATTGAGAATGATTAAAAAGAAAAGAAGAACAAATAGCAAAGCGAACATAAAAGTAACAGAGATGTGTAATATGCTGAACTGGATTTTGAAAAGGGGATTAGAAATTGTTGTGGAAAAAGGTGCACAACTTTGAAAAAGAAGGAGACACTTGAGTGCCTTAACGGGAATGGCATGAGACTTCATTGTCTCCGTGAGGCTTTGTGGTCGTGCAGTCAGGCATTAACTGCCAGGAAGTACGTGCATAAGAATGTGTTGATCTGTGACTTAAATTCTAGAGTTCTTGAAGTACAGGCAACACTTTATGCATCTCTCCCTAGTATATGAGTGTGTATATTTGTATTCATGCTATTATGTCTTCTGTAAATCACATTAGTTTCTGGATATGGCTCTGATGCTGAAGGTCACTTATTTTAAGCAATCTAGCTGTTTTCAGCATGTGACAACAGCACTAAGGCTCACTGACCTTTCAGGCTTCGCTGAGTTAGGACGGAAGATTTGTTTAAATATATGAGATGTAATAGCATATATTCACTTACTCAGACTAGTGGGTGGGTCGGTGAAGGGGTTTGGGAATTTTGTGGCGAGGTTCATTGTCCGTGTTCATTGTTGCTGTGGAAACAAAGTTGGCTGTTAGTGGTGCTAAAAGCATTGTAAGCTGGTTGAAGGATGGGATTTCAGATCAGAGGGAGTGAGGGGATAGAGAGAGAGAAACAGAGGAGGAGACAGCAATGTACAAGACTGGCTAAAAACGAGGTGGAAATTAACAGTACACATTATGTTCTTCATACTTTATGAGATATGGTAATAGAAACATATATTAATATTAAAAAGATGTTGCTGAAGGTTTATGATAATGGGAGTTCAAGTGGCACAGTAGGTGCCATTGATGGGAGCCTTGGCAAGTAGAGCAATACTACACTTTGTTTGGCCTTTAATACAAATACAGTGTTTCTAACAAGGTCAGCCAGAGGTAACCTCTCCATATGCTATGTTTCCTTGGTGACGCTTGTGTAAGCAGTGAGTAGAAACAATTGGACAGCAATAAAGATAACAACCTAAAGAAAAATAAAAGTACTAAAGGTTAAAATTTGGTTTGGAGGTTCATAAGGCTAAAGGCCTTTGGGTTTATCAGCTTCGCAAGTCCACTGACAACAATAATGTGGCAGACAGCAAACAATAAAATTAATTAAATTACAAAACTAATTGTGTAATGTAATCTCTACAATTACAACTAATTTAAATTACTCAATGTAATACATTAATTTTATTAAATAATAAATTAAGAATGACTTTTAACAGTACATTCTTCTGACAACTAATCTCATATATGTATTGTAGTGGCTACCTTTATTGGTCTAATCTGCATTAAAATAGCGTATATGTACCAATGCAACAATATAACAATCTGTTTAATATCAAATAATTTCCTGAATAAGTACCATTTTTTATTCTTGCACCTTATTCGACTTGTATTATAAACATTAGACTAGCAATATCAGAAGTACAATCATATTTAATTATTTGTATGGCATAAATTGTTGCATAAATAGTTTCTCTCTCATTTCTTAGAGGAGCAGTTGGCAGTGAAGTCCCTCACCTCTACTCTTGCAAAGAACTCTTCCTGCTCTTTCTCATACTCAACAACTCGAGGCGGCCAATCTTCCTTAAACCCAAGCCCACCAGTTGAGAGGCTCACAAAACCTTCTCTGACTAGAGCCAGCCATCGTGTCTATCACATCCCCAGCCAACCCATACAATTTCCTTCAAACCTCACAGAGTCTCACCTTTTCCAAATTTCTGATATCCCATCCCATTCTACTAATCAGTGTATGACTACCATTGCACCATCTGTCCTCTGTACCCACAACCACACTCATTTACCCATGGCTTCTCCAAAGTTAGGTGTGTCAGCAACCACAACCTCCTCTTCATCCTCCTCTGCTGCTGCTTCTCTCTGTGTGCCTCCACATCCTGGAAGCCACAGTTCTGTGCCTCAGGGTCCCCCAAGTCCAGTTACACCCTCTTCCAGCCCAAGCACGGTCCCTTCAGCCCCAGCATGTGCACCCGTCAGTATTGCTTTCATCTTGGAGGAGCTACGTGTGCTGCAGCAGAGGCAAATTCATCAGATGCAGATGACTGAAGAAATCTGTAGGCAAGTACTGAGATTGGGAGGAGGATCTTGTGAAGTGGATTCAAAACCATATATACTACCATCTCTGCCACAGCTCTGTTTAAAAGGTTCTGATAACAACCCCAGAACCTCCCGACCAAAGTCATCACCTCCCCCTACCTCTGTGGCTCCTCTTTTGGCCTGTTTCTCATCCCTGCTACCCCCCCAGACCACCTCTAAGTCCTCCAAACATGCCCACCCTCTCTTGAATGTCTTACGCCCCCATAAAGCACAGTATGACAGGGGGGTAGTTACTCCAGCAAGCTTCACCAGTCATACAAGTGCTTTCACATCTTCATCAATGTCTACACCTGCTGCCTCAAACTATCCACTCACACTTTCTCTTGGCCTTCCATCCCAAAAATCATCCACCATAGGAGTTAGTGGACACAGTGGTGTGACCTTCCCAAACCAATCTATACCAGCAGCTGCTGTCCCTTCAGCCCCCTCACAGGATCCAAAACTCTCTGCTCAAGGAGGTACGACTGTCTTATCGTCAGGGCGTATGCAGCATGCATGCCGATTTTGTCGGAAACTCTTCAGCACTGATTCATCCCTCCAAATACACTTGCGTTCACACACAGGGGAGCGTCCTTACCAGTGTCCTGTATGTTTCAGTCGATTCACCACACGAGGGAACCTGAAAGTCCACTTCTTGCGGCATCGTGAGCAAAACCCTGAACTCTCTTTTTCATTGTTTCCCTGTTCGCTTTTTGCATCTGTAACTGGAGGATCAATGGGAGGGCCAGCACAAACACAGACCTCCACCAATGCAAATGCTACTCAGAGGCATCAAAAACAGCAAGAGGATGATCTGTGTGGCGACAGTCCTGAGGGAACTACTGCCTCAACACGTGCCACAACCTCATCTCATCCTCCTAGTATTGATTTGGCCCTGCTGACCACTGCACACTCTCTCCTTCAGCTCAATCGTGCTGCTGCTGCTGCTGCCGCTGCTGCAGCCTCTACATCCACTACCTCCTCAATCACATCCTCATCACCATCCTCTCTGGCCTCCACCCTTCTTTCAGCTCCTGCCTCATCCACCTCCTCCATTGCTGGGGTGTATAAAGGAGTCAAACGCTTTGATGAGAACACCCCACCAATACCTACTCTGCTCCCCCATTCTGCTTACTCACAGCTTGCCAATTTACCCAAAATCTTCTTCCCAGCATCTTCCGCTCAGCATCATCCAGGCCATGGGTTTCTCAGGCCAACAACTCCAGCTGGATCGTTCCTGCCATCCCCACAACAACACATCACGTTCCCATTCACAGCATCATCCACTACCCCATCCATCTCGACCCCAACCTCGGACACATCGAAGCTGCAGAGGCTGGTGGAGAAGTTGGAGAAAGAACCACAAGGTCAGTCAAACTGGGTTTCATCCATTGGGGAGACTTCTACCAGCGGCCATAGTGTAGCAGGAGCATTAAGCTATAGCAGCAGTGGTTTAATGAGCACAAGCACATTCAGTACAAATGTGGTCACCTCACTTCCATCATCTACAATCCAAATACCATCATCCCTCTTCAGCAAGGAGTCACCCTACCTGGGACTTATGAATTCTGCTGGGACACTTGCCCCTAATCAGTGTAGTGTGTGTCTGCGGGTGCTAAGCTGCCCAAGAGCATTACGTTTGCACCAGGCTACTCATTTAGGTGAGCGACCCTTCCCCTGCAAACTATGTGGTCGTTCCTTCTCAACTAAAGGAAGCCTTCGAGCACACCTTGCCACCCACCGTGCCCGCCCTCCAAACAGTCGCGCCCAGAATTCTTGCCCCTTATGCCAGCGGAAATTTACCAATGCCCTTGTACTACAACATCATATCCGCATGCACTTAGGAGGACAGCTACCACCAGAGCACATGCCAGATACCTCAACAGAATGTGATATTTTGTCCCATTCCGAGTCTATTGAGCTCTCTGCTTCAGAAATCAGCCCTAGTGCTACAGATGTTCAGTTACTAGATGCTGATCTACAGACAGTTTCGGATTCTAGACATACTGAATCCCTTGCTGTCAGTACTGCTCCTACAGCATGTCCCATAACCTCCAGCCTACCTGCTTCACTTAGCTCAGGTTTTGTACCACCTTTAGACCTAACCCCTGACCCATACCTGAATCCAACCCCTCATTCACCTCCAATATTCAGAGCTGATCACCCTGAGCTCTCAATCACTGTACCTTCTCCAGTGGAATCTGCAGCCTCCCTTGTCATTCCTGCCACCCAGTCAGCATCAGCAACAACTGGTCCTTCTACCACTGATGAACTATCTTTTGAAATTTCCAGCAACACTGCCTTCTTGGAAGATAAAAAGATTTCATGCTCCTCTGCTCTGAAGAAAGCAAGTCCACTAAGAGATGACTGTGAACATAGTGAAAATATATGTGTCTCACCTATTCCTTGCTCTGCATCCAGATCAAATCTGGAGGATCTTCTTAGTATACAAGCTCATAATGCATCCAGAGTTCCTCCACCACATCCAGAATCAACACCACCTTCTCTCCTTGCGCTGAGATCTGAGAGTGCGTCTTCTCATACAGTACGCCTAGAGGAGCCTGACCAAAGCCTTCTCCAAATATCCAAATTAATCCCCCAAGAGTTCCCTAAGGAAGAAAAGGCGGAAGATAAAATTCATAAAACACCAAAGAATGGACAAAGAACAACTCCAGATTTGAGTATTAATGCAGATACGGTATCAGACACTGTAAACAAGACAAATGAGGATGAGACTGTGGATTGTGACACACGTGTGCGGAAGACCATAACGGAAGCTCACTGTAGTTCAACTGCAAAGGATAAAGAGGACCATAAAGATATAACAGGAACTGAAATGGACCGAACAGAATCAACTGTATGCATATCACTGACTCCCAGTCTTCCACCTCCAATGCCAGAAAAAAAAATATACCACTGTTCTGAATGTGGAAAAGAGTATGCAAGTCGCAGTGGACTTAAGGTGATTCTGAATTCATTAAGCTAAACAATTATTGTCATCCAGGGTGAATATACAGTTCAGCATGGTACAATGTTAGTTACTCAAGAGATTTTCATCCTTGTCTTGGTACAATTTGAAAGTTTCATGACAATTAAATAACATCTCTTACTATAACTTCTAGGGACACATGAAGCACCATGGAGGAGTTGCCAAGGCACCCCGAGCTCCTGCAAAGACCAAGGGCCCAGAGAGAGTCTTGCATCATGAGCGGTCACAAACTCACCACCTTGCAACCTTCCTGCCACCAGGACATCAGTGAGTTTCTTGAACCAAGCCCTCCGAAAACATCAGCAAGCATCAGAGAGCTCTCCACTAGACCCTGTTAAAAAAAATCAGAAAAAAAGTGTTAAGATGAATTTAATAGCTGACAAATGGGAAGGAACCTGAAGGATATTTTGGACTATGACTTGACTGAAAAAAAAAAAAAAAACATAACCCCACTCATGTGCTGCCGGATCCTTCCTGCCATCCCCACAACAACACATCACATTCCCGTTCACAGCATCATCCACTACCCCATCCATCTCAACCCCAACCTCAGACACATCGAAGCTGCAGAGACTGGTGGAGAAGTTAGAGAAAGAACCACAAGGTCAGTCACATTGGGTTCCATCCATTGGGGAGACTTCTACCAGCAGCCATACTGTAGCAGGAGCAATAAGCTATAGCAGCAGTGGTTTAATGAGCACTAGCACAAGTACAAATGTGGTCACCTCACTTCCATCATCTACAATCCAAATACCATCATCCCTCTTCAGCAAGGAGTCACCCTACCTGGGACTTATGAATTCTGCTGGGACACTTGCCCCTAATCAGTGTAGTGTGTGTCTGCGGGTGCTAAGCTGCCCAAGAGCATTACGTTTGCACCAGGCTACTCATTTAGGTGAACGACCCTTCCCCTGCAAGCTATGTGGTCGATCCTTCTCAACTAAAGGAAGCCTTCGAGCACACCTTGCCACCCACCGTGCCCGCCCTCCAAACAGTCGCGCCCAGAATTCTTGCCCCTTATGCCAGCGGAAATTTACCAATGCCCTTGTACTACAACATCATATCCGCATGCACTTAGGAGGACAGCTACCACCAGAGCACATGCCAGATACCTCAACAGAATGTGATATTTTGTCCCATTCCGAGTCTATTGAGCTCTCTGCTTCAGAAATCAGCCCTAGTGCTACAGATGTTCAGTTACTAGATGCTGATCTACAGACAGTTTCGGATTCTAGACATACTGAATCCCTTGCTGTCAGTACTGCTCCTACAGCATGTCCCATAACCTCCAGCCTACCTGCTTCACTTAGCTCAGGTTTTGTACCACCTTTAGACCTAACCCCTGACCCATACCTGAATCCAACCCCTCATTCACCTCCAATATTCAGAGCTGATCACCCTGAGCTCTCAATCACTGTACCTTCTCCAGTGGAATCTGCAGCCTCCCTTGTCATTCCTGCCACCCAGTCAGCATCAGCAACAACTGGTCCTTCTACCACTGATGAACTATCTTTTGAAATTTCCAGCAACACTGCCTTCTTGGAAGATAAAAAGATTTCATGCTCCTCTGCTCTGAAGAAAGCAAGTCCACTAAGAGATGACTGTGAACATAGTGAAAATATATGTGTCTCACCTATTCCTTGCTCTGCATCCAGATCAAATCTGGAGGATCTTCTTAGTATACAAGCTCATAATGCATCCAGAGTTCCTCCACCACATCCAGAATCAACACCACCTTCTCTCCTTGCGCTGAGATCTGAGAGTGCGTCTTCTCATACAGTACGCCTAGAGGAGCCTGACCAAAGCCTTCTCCAAATATCCAAATTAATCCCCCAAGAGTTCCCTAAGGAAGAAAAGGCGGAAGATAAAATTCATAAAACACCAAAGAATGGACAAAGAACAACTCCAGATTTGAGTATTAATGCAGATACGGTATCAGACACTGTAAACAAGACAAATGAGGATGAGACTGTGGATTGTGACACACGTGTGCGGAAGACCATAACGGAAGCTCACTGTAGTTCAACTGCAAAGGATAAAGTGGACCATAAAGATATAACAGGAACTGAAATGGACCGAACAGAATCAACTGTATGCATATCACTGACTCCCAGTCTTCCACCTCCAATGCCAGAAAAAAAAATATACCACTGTTCTGAATGTGGAAAAGAGTATGCAAGTCGCAGTGGACTTAAGGTGATTCTGAATTCATTAAGCTAAACAATTATTGTCATCCAGGGTGAATATACAGTTCAGCATGGTACAATGTTAGTTACTCAAGAGATTTTCATCCTTGTCTTGGTACAATTTGAAAGTTTCATGACAATTAAATAACATCTCTTACTATAACTTCTAGGGACACATGAAGCACCATGGAGGAGTTGCCAAGGCACCCCGAGCTCCTGCAAAGACCAAGGGCCCAGAGAGAGTCTTGCATCATGAGCGGTCACAAACTCACCACCTTGCAACCTTCCTGCCACCAGGACATCAGTGAGTTTCTTGAACCAAGCCCTCCGAAAACATCAGCAAGCATCAGAGAGCTCTCCACTAGACCCTGTTAAAAAAAATCAGAAAAAAAGTGTTAAGATGAATTTAATAGCTGACAAATGGGAAGGAACCTGAAGGATATTTTGGACTATGACTTGACTGAAAAAAAAAAAAAAAACATAACCCCACTCATGTGCACACAGTAAACACATAGAGGGTTATTTCTTGGTTTTGAAAATGTCTCTGATCTTTAACACAGATCTTTTATATTAAAATACCTGCATTGTGTATTTTAATATATGTAATGATGTCTAAATATATCTTATAGAACTTCTTTGAATATTATGTGATGTTCTTTTAGATAAATGTTAATTATTTTGTCTGTTTAAGGTAAGATGGATTTGTTTACTTTTCCAAAGTAAAGATCTTAAGGTAGCTAAGGATTTGAACAATAGCTTTGGGTGAGGAACAGACCAAAATGTATTAAGCCAATGATGACATAATTGATCACTTTCTCACTAAGAGTTAGTTATTGTATTGGTATACCATTTCTCTATTCTTAAATAACAACATTTTAAAAAATATGCAGAGTTTTTGATCAAAATCTATAAAGGATGGGATGGTAAAATTTGGAGGGAGTGTATTTCAAATGAAAAAATATAAAACGCACCTTGTCGATACCTTGTTTTACGGCAGCCATGCACAAATCATTGTTATCAACCTTTGGTCAAAAATTCAAGCTCTTATCAATTTTCATAATAAGCTCAAATGTTTAAAAAAATACCCTACTCAAAACGCTTAGTACAGACAGTGCAGCTGGAGCCAAGAGGAAGTAAATGTTCAATTGTTTTCCTAGGGCAAACCAACTGTGAACCAGTGCTTTTAATATTATTTTAAACACTTCATAAAATTTACATTATGTAAATTCACATGAAATACTCTTGACTTGTACTAAATCTTCAGGCTTTTATGTAACAGTTTTTCAGTTGGGAAGCACCAAAACACCAAACTGTAAATATGACCTGTCAAACTATGTCCATTGTGTCCATGTTTGTCCTGTCCAGCTGTACAATATTAGACAATATACTGCTCTTAACATCAACTAGACTAAAGAGTCGGGTAAGATTGTTTAACAAGCCTGTATGTCAGTGTAAGCTCTTGTTACTTTAATATTGTTAGTGTAGCTATTGAAAAAGGTAGAAATAAATTGACTGATTCTGAGATGAACCATTATCTAGCTTAAAAGGTAACCCTTTCTATAATTCTTGGTGAAAATGTTTATTTCTTTGGTGATGTTTGTTCTTTGCCTGGATACTTTTACATGTATCTTCTATAGAAATGAATTGGGTGTATGAGTCTGACTGTAATATGTAGTTTCATGGTACAGCTAAAAGATAAAAAAGGAAATAAAAACCAGTGTATTCATGACAAGAACTAGAATATGGAGTTCTTTTAATCATGCTCACTCTTTGTTGTTTTTTTAGAGTATAAATCTCATCTACAGTGATGTTATTCTTCCTTGGTGGTCTGAGGGAAACAGTTTTCTTCACGTACAGGCAACCCTAATCCGTTCACTCCCTAACAAAATCAAACTCCTCTGCACTGCTTCTGTGTGTGCCACATCAAGCGCAGTGAGGGAGAAACTGGAGGAAGCCTTGACAATCTGTCTGAGGACTGGCCTCTAATCTCTTGCACCATGACAACCATGCAGAGGCACATAAGGAAGACAGAAGGAAGCAGAGTATAGTCTGTGTTTGTGTGTAGGGGTATGTGTATGTTGGTGTGATGTTCAAATTCTGTATGTATGGGTTTTTAAAATGAGTGCTAAACCTGTATGAAAATAGTTTACAGAATTACAATTACAAATGCTGCACATTACAAATGCTGCACCTGAGAAGGTCACGTGTGTAAGCTCAGGGTAGAGTAAACTTCACAAAGCTGAAATTTATGGCAGGGGTGACATTTGGAAACTGCTTGTATCCAAGGCCAACGCACCACGTCACAAATACTGCCATACTAAGTACAAAACCTTGGATCTGAGCAATGGAAAAAACATATATGGCCTAATAAATTATCTTTCACTTTGTTACATACTGAATGTCTTACTTTTGGAGAAAGTCACAGATGTTCAGCACATCCATAGACAGATAATACATAGCACATACAAACAGCTTCAAACACCAGGATGTTCAAATGGACCTCATGTTGCATTCAAACATACCTTAACATCATTGAACCTTTCGATAGAAGTAGATTTTCACCTCCATCTTCACACACAGCAACAATGATAGAAGCTCTTCCAAAAATAAAAGGAACGTTTATTAGACTCTTGATATGAATATATATATTTTTTCTTATATACGAAACATGCAATGACAGAATCTCACCAGTAGGTGGTGTTGAACCTTAGCTCTTCTAGACTGAAGACATAAAAACTGGAATTTTTTTTTACAAACAAAAAAAAGTATACTGTACATCAGTTGCCACTGAAAGCAGTTAAATCATAAAATAATTGACTATGGGAGCCTGGATAAAAAAACACCATTGTAAAGTTTTAAAATGTAAACTATTTAAAATGGTCCCAAACTAAAAATTGTATCAATCAATCAATAGGTAAATAAATAAAGGGAACACACACACACACACACACACACACATATATATATATATAATTAATAATTTATGCATTTAGCAGACGCTTTTATCCAAAGGACTTTCCAATGACTTCCTTATACACACCCATATTTAATTCTACGGCTGTCACAATAACATAAACAATAACATAAAAAGATAAATTACATTAAATTAATGTCCTGGCATTATGCGCATATTTTTTTTCTATTCAATCAGTTTAAATGAATCATTTTGTCATGCTTGTTTGCTTTAGCAATGTTTTGACCAGTCATTGAAGTAACGCAAACAGTCAGATGGTAAACACCAAACGAATGTCAAGCAAAACCATGAATTAAATTGCCAAAAGCTAAACAATCGCCTAGTTAGAGGGAAGAACTGTGGCAGATGAAGTATTTTCTCTGTCCACAAGGTCGAGCCAAGCAAAGCAGAAGAAGGTCGTCAGCAAGGTCATTAAAGTTCGAGCAGTTGAAGGGAGCGGGATGGGTTAATGTTGAGGAGGGAGGGCTTTGGCTTTTCAGGATCAGTTTTTTGGCAATACCTATCGAGAGACCACGTCTACAAGCCCGGAGAAAGGGGCTGCTGTGCATATGAACCCGAAGATTTGAACCAACTAGCGCAATGAAATAGAAATAAGACAAAGAGAAATTTCGCAAGGAATGTTTATCTTCATACTGCGTTCTGTCGATGTAACATTTTCAGCGCTTAGTACATAAAACAGTATGATTTTATGACTATAGAGTATCAGTCACTGCGATGCAATAGTAATCTATAGCAGTAATTGTTTAAATTTTGATAAACTTCAGCATTCTCCCTTTCTCCTGGAGAAGTCAACGTTCTCGTTGGTTTTGTACCACAAAAGTGGTAGGCGCTAGTTTTTTTTAAAGCGTGGTTATGTTTTGACAGTTGCAAAAGCAGCCAAACTTTATTAAGATTAATACACGTATTTTCAAAAAGGACTCATCGACAGAAGAATGAATTGGAGCCGGTTAACGGAGCTGTTGCTCCTAATATTTCTGTGCGCGGACAGATCGTCCTCAAAACAAGACAGGAAACCTGAGGTGAGTATAGTGCATTTTTCTCGAGATATATATAAATATTTATTACTGATAACACATCCAGATCCATTGTGCGGTGGCAGATGTTTTATGTTGTGAAGATCTTCTTGTGTGAAGGTCTGGACATGCCGATGCATGTAAGAAAAACGTTATATTCAAGAAAGAAAAAGAAAAAAAAGCATTCCGTATCACATCATATTGCAACTGTATAACAATTAGCTATGTGTTGAAATCCATATAAATAAAATACGTCAAATAAATTGAATATTTTTTCTGACAATAGTCTACTCATACTATACAATCTTCTTTATGCATGCCAAAACACGTGTGACCTTCACTGAAGTAGGTAAATGCTTGACTGATAAAAACAGACTATGAGACTCATGCTGTACTGATTTAGGGAGACTGATATATATTGGGGTCCTTAATTTAAAGTCTTAGTAGTGTGAATCTCACAATACCTGTCAAGAACATGTGGGGGGTCATATTTAACCACAAAATAAAAATAAATAAATAAACTTGGCATAAAGAAAATTAAGCCTTTTTGCATTAACATTAAACACATTTTCTTTTACAATTTAAATTTTAGAAGCACAGAAAATCTCATTCACATTATGGATTTGTACATTTCTGTGTCTTATTTCACCCCTTATCTTTAATTAATGCAAATTTAAATAAACATAAAAATATGACAGTAATTTTAGAATCTTATAACAATCATTCTTTCAAAATAATAGGAATTACCAATAAAATAAAATGAAATGAAATAGAAACATCCAGACATTTCAGGAGGGAATGTGCTTAAATGTAGTGAAAATAATATGATGCAAAACAACTTAATGGTCCTAAAATAATAATATGCTTTATTTTCATTTTTATTAAAAATATACTGTGACACGTTTTCAAGAGATTTTTCCAACTATGCAATTAGAATGTACATATCTAATTATATCACACTAATTTCCAAAATAACTTCGAAAAGTTGAGTGAAATCCAGAAAGGATTACATTATGGATGTTATTATTACCATTGTGAGCTTCTAAAATCAAATCTTTATATGGGAAAGTCTTTACCAGCTGCAAGTCAGTATCATTATTTAGTCACAGATGTTTAGCTTTAAGAATCTCTGATATTTCTGCTCAGTGATCAAAGTAAAAACTTAGAAAATAGGAGAGGAGTGGAGGATTCTGAATTAAGGTCAAGTGAGAGACCGCAGAGAGAAAGATGCTGAGGATGCAAAAAAAGAACGAACAATTACCACAAGAAAACAGGAAGAAAAGTCATGACTGTAATGTTGTGGTCAGAGGGTGGATGGATATGCTGAGGATGAGTTTGGGGGGAAAAGATTTTTCTGCTCCTATAAGCTGCGGGATTTAATGGATGACATCTGTCCTTATAGTTATGGTCAAAAAAGAGAGAAGGGGTTTAGACAGAGCGGAAAACTCCATATGGGCTCTTTTCTTCCTCTCTTTCTCCTTTCCGTCTAACAGGAAGTCATCACAATCCTGCATCACAATCTCCTAATTCCTTAAGGATATCCTTATGTTATAGACTCATGCACACCTGTGGTTTTGAACAATATTAGTATCAATATCCACTTCCCTTTGTTGTGAAAGTAATTTACTCCCACACAAACCATGACATGCTATTTTTGATACACTTCTCGTCATTGACAGCAATGGACAGGTCTTGGATAAATCACCTGAAGAGTGCTACTACATTTATTAAGAACTTCTAGGGAGTTTCACATCATAGTGCTTTATTGGGATGTGCATTTGGCCACATATAGCTAGTCGCATCTTTTATAGGACAGAACCAGAGGAAATGGCCAGGGGATTTTCCGTACGGTCTTGACCACATGGCTTTAGGACAGATGCGAGATGATGCCAGCAGTTAGTGATGTAGTGTCAAAGCGTAAGGAAGGAAGTGGGATGTGGAAGGAGGTAGCATGTTACAGAAAAGAGACACAAAGAGATGGGAAAAAATGGAGTTGATCTTTTCAGACAGGAAATGTGGTGGGGTGTGAATGATGCAAGTCTGCATAAAGAATAGAAGTTATTGTAGGATGAAAAGTGATGTCATTTCAGAAGCAAGAGAATAACAGAAAAATGAAAGGCTGAATTGGACTACAAATTGTCCAGTTCCTGTGTCACTTAAGGCCAAACAACCCACAGTTGTTTGCAGTAATTCTGGAACGTATTGGAAAGATAATTCCCAACATCCTTTCCTATTTAATAGTAATGTTCTCATTATGCACTTTCCATTTGAAAAGATTATTTTTCATCAAACAGCCAAGTGCCTCAAGTGTAAATATCTGACCCACTCATCTATAAAATAACTAGTAACTTCAGACTTTTTCCATAGAGCATCCAACCACCAGTATCCATAAAAAATAAAATAATAAAAAATAAAATAATAAAATTGGAATACATTCTTTCTTATAGAACCACTGATCAATAGAATAGAATTTATTCCTAATTTGAATGAAATACAAGGAATTTAGGGACTTCACAGTGCATGGATTTGCAGAGTAAACTTTGTTTTTGTGATAGGTAAACTTCAGTGGTAAACTTGTGGTTGATGTTACAGTGTTGATACATTTAGCCAGCTGTTGAGGTTCATTAGCGTAACCTAAGCAGTTGAACTGCATTTTTATGATTTGGCTTCACCACATGCTCACCCAGATTCTGTGTTATTTCACTGGCCCAGAGTAAACGGAAATTGCGGCTCATTTTCCCT